GGTCCCACCAAATTTTCCCCGGATTCCTGTTCCATAACAATTGGCCTAAATATACATACACGCACAGAGAGACGACCCATTCGAGATATACCCACAGTCGAACGGGATGTGGTGGAGTCTTTTCAGTAAGTGGAGGAAAACCGGCTGGGTACTGGACTTATTTCGAGTCTTCATAAGTCTATACACTGATGATTTATCAGTGATGCCAGCTGGTGCTAAGTACAAAAACATCCCGCTCGGCACAACCTACATCAGACCTTCCGCCTCCACCCCCACCGCAAGGCTACCACCACATTACACTCACAACCGCTGCTAAACAATCATGGAGAACGATGGAGGTCAACGTACTCATGAGAAGGCTGGCCCGGTTCAGTTTCCGGGTGTTAATGGCAACACGAGTCCTCCGGCGAGGGCCGCTCCCCTCGCCAGAGTTTCGGTGAACACACAGCAACCAAGGCCAAGGACCTCCTCCTCCGACTACCGCTGCCCCGCGGTTTAGTTACCAGGCTGGTGTCCAGGAAAGCCCCCTACAAGCACACGGTCCACAGGACGCACGCGCAGCAGCTCCTCACGCTCCCACGCCGCTTGAAGCATCCCTAACTCCATCATCTCCGCCTCCGCCTGTGCAGCACTCCTAAGATCTATGCCGCTCGCAGCATCGCCGTCATCCTCGTCACGCCGACTTGGTGTGACACGAGCATGTAGAACGGTATGCTGCGGTTCAAATCACGCGAATGCACCATATCGGCAGCATGCATTCATTGCACCGGGTCTGGCGTGCAGTGACGACTGTCTAACTGTCTTGCGGTACTGTAGCTGGCTCGCCATGGTATAGTGTGTATCACGGCCGAGGTATGGGTGCATAGCTAGCCTCACGGGCTGGGCTGATGCGGCATGTGTCCGGACAACGTTGGGAGTATCTCGGGGAGTATAGGCCAACCAGAAACTGTTCCCAAGAAGATAGATGCGAGCAAGATGGAATTCGCAAGAATTTGATCTTTTCTGCAGTCTTTGAGGGCAATTTTTTTTTTTTTTTCGTCCTCACTTCAAATCAGCGCTCACAGCACTGCTGTGGTGCCGTTTACTCCAACCCGTGGTCACACAGAAGAGCCCCTCTCTACCCTCCCCTCCTGCGGTACTTTGCCTTCGATTTTTAATGCGAGAAGAGTTCAGCGCTCTCTTCCCTCTGTGTACACACGAACTAGCGCTATCCACCAGGCCAGGAGCGGAAGCGAGAGAAAAAGTCACTTTGAAAGAAAAGCTCGCTTACGCCGGAATTTGAACCCCTGACCTGACCTCTAGAAGGTTTCGGGGAAACCAACTAGACCGACCACCGGGGCGACCGGTGCCTTGGTAAAAGTGAAAGATCAAATTCCTAAAGATCAGCGGCCTTCCGCGCTCGGGTGGATAAAAAAGATCGAAATCAAATCGGATTCCGATGTTCGCAAACTCTGTGATAAAACGACTTTACCATCTATCTCTTCACATTGTCAACCGGGATAGCCTGTCTTATTTATCCAGCTGCACTCGGCTTGGGGTCGATCAACATATAACGGATCCGAAGGGTCCGCGCAAGTCAATAGAAGAAGAAGTCAACGACAGATTGATGATGTAGCTTGTAATGGAGACTCTCGCCGCTCGCCTCTCCATCATCATCACTGCTGCGGCAGTGCGGCAGTAAACGCGAGGAAAACATGGACTGGAAGACAACATCATTTCTGGCCAGAGATTCACTCGCCTGAGTTACTGTTGATTGGTTCCAAGCCTAGTGCTGCTGGATAAGCACGACTGACCAGGTTGACAGGGATGAAGAGATGGTAAAGTCGTTTATTAGGTTGCCCTCGTAGACAAGCAACAGGAGAGAGTGGGCGCCACGTGCGCCACAAAGCATCAAGCAACAGTCGCAAGAAATTCACCGACGAAAAGACGCGCAGACTTTCTGCAACACGAAACAATTCCAACTACCAAAGACATGTCGGGAGATACCCCGAAGATCCACGCCCGTGGAACGGTGACTTGCACACGTCTCGCTCTCAAACCATACGTGAGTACTACCGCAGTAGCGTTCGTAAGGATGACATAATCCACCTCACGGACAGGTTACACACACCTCTTCCCCTCCCCGGCCTGCTCCCCGGCCGGGGCCGAAATCGAACCTTGTGAGTCCCTCGCGGGCGAACCAGGCTACAACAGATAGTAGGTGGGTGGTGTCCCAAGGTGCAACTCACCGCCGCGCTGGCTCAGCGTGGCGGTGAGGATGCACAGACGGTGGTAGTAGCGAGAGGTGTATGTGGACCTTGTCCCCGCGGCAGCAATGCAAAGCGGCAAACTGCACCTGGTAACCACCGTCGCGGAAAACGTGGCCCACGAAGCTGG